GACAGTACAGTATCGATTATTTGAAATTTGGCTTCATTCCATCATTGCTGGACAAACAATTGCCTATGTGCCTTTTATGCAACAAAGTTTTGGGCAATGACGATATGAAACCATCTAAAATGCAAGATCATCTGAGAAGATGCCACCCTGATAAAACAGAGAGAGATTTGAAATACTTTCAAACACTCAAAGATAAACTTCAGAAGAGACCTACACTGGACAGAATGTTCGGTTCGACGTCACAAAGAAATGATGATGGTTTGCGGGCGTCTTACAATATCTCGTTACTTATCCGCAATAATAATACCGCATACTATCGGAGAGAAGTTAATTTTGCCAGCCGTTGAAGAGGTTATAAAAACTGTTTTACACAAACCTGCATCTGAATTCATTAAAAGAATTCCCATAAGCAACAATACTGTTGAAAGACGTATTGATGAAATGAATTCCGATATGGAAAGCTTCTTATGTAATTATTTGCAAACAACCCATTTCTCTATAGAACTGGACGAGTCAACTTTACCTGATAATGCAGCATTATTATTGGCATATGTTCGTTTTACTATGAATCAAGAAATCTACGAAGAACTGCTATTCGCAAGAACTTTGATAACCGACACTAAAGGTGAATCATGTTTTGAAGGATTACTTCATTGAAAAAGCAATTCCTTTATCAAATATAATATCAGTAGCTACAGATGGAGCACCTGCCATGGTTGGACGTTATCGTGGATTTATAAGCTATTTAAAACTAAATGTGTCAGGGGTTAGCAATACATTGCGTCATCCATCGACAACATTTACTTGCTAAAAATTTGAGTGTTAGATTGCATGAATCACTTATCATTGAGTAAACCGAATCCGAAGCAACGCGTTGAATACGCGGTTATTTGCGCAGTTGTGTGAAGAAAATGACGAACACTCATCAAATTACTCCTTCACACTGAAGTACGCTGGCTGTCGATAGGCTTATGTTTGACAAGACTTTTTTGCACTTTTTGAGACTATTTTAGAATTTCTGGATACTAAAGATAAAATTTTAAAACAAAATTTAATGAAGAGGAAAACAGACATCGCCTATTTAACAGACTTGTTTACAAATTTTAATATGGTTAATTTGAAATTACAAGGCGACAGTTTAAATTTGATTAAAACAAAGTCCATCTTGTCAGCGTTTCTTGCCAGAGTTAAACTAATGAAGCAAAATATTCCCCAATTTGTCACAGACAAGCTGCCAGGAAGACGACGTTTTAACTTACGTTCGACATTTAAATGTCCTCTATTCAGATTTTGAATCCAGGTTTGAGGATATTTTGACTACGGTAATACCACCGTGGATAATTAATCCATATGGCGACATAGAAGAAACGAATGTCATAATACAAGTGGAACTGACTACAAACGAAGAACTTAAGGTTCAGTTTAAAAACGGATATCAGCAATTCTGGCTGCAAAACAACATACCCGTTACTTATCCCGTATTATGGAATATAGCGAGGAAGTTTCTAATTTCCTTTCCATCGTCATACCAAGTGGGTTCTGGGGGATTCTGCGCTGTTACCAATCTCCTAACGAAAAAAGGAACAGACTGGACATCATTAACCGAAGAGATTTAAGATTAACCCTTACAAAATTGACGCCAAATGTTGATAATTTATTATTAAAGCATCAGGTTCATCCTTCTCACTAAAAATATTGACTTATTGCTTATATTATTTTATTTATAGTTTATTTTATGTTTATTTAATGCTACGTATATTTTACATAACAGATAAAAGAATTATTTTGAGTAGTTTTAATTTAAATTCAATTAATAGATGTATAAATTATACAGTTAGAAATTTACAGGAAATCAATATCAGGTAAGTAGGGGGGTCTACCCAACACGGAAAATGGGCAAGGGGTCTACGATACAAAAAGTTTGGGGAACTCTGTTGTACATAGCTCAGGGTTATACTTCGATCCGACTTCTATGGCATACTTCTACAACGATTATTGGAATGTAGTAATCTATGTGGAAATAATACCTATAGAGCCTTATTTAAAGAAAATTGATCAATCTATTTCAACGCTAATTATCTTAAATATGACTCGTTATCACATATTATTTCCGCAAACCCTATTAATCGTTTTAAAAGATCTCTTAAATTTGGCGGTCAAATTCTTAAGTTTTTCTTCGGTACATTAGATGCTGTTGACGCCAGAAAATACGATGAAGCCATTTCTATTTGTCATCATAATGAAAACGAGATATATTCGCTAATGAAAGACAACATACACATTGTTCAATCAACCATCAATTTTCATCCCTAACTACCCTAAGTGTTATTACACTACACTGTGGCAAGGGCACTGCAGACAGGGTGCACTTTGTCGTCCTAATTAGGGACCCTTACTCCCTTTCTCTTATTACACCACCCTGAATCAGGGCATAGGGAGCCTGATTCAGGGTAGTGTAATAGGGGTATTACACAAGCGACTTGACTTCATAATACGCAGATTATGAGATAGCTATACCGAGCACGCGCTCGGATAAAAAAACTAAGTAACCGCCAAACAACATTTTATTTATTTTAACAAAATTTCGTTATGTATTAAAAAAATGGTTTATGAGAACTTAGATATGATTATTTAATATGCCTTAAAAATAATTCCATGAACTTATTCGTAAATATATTGTGGTGTCATGGAGAAATGTAAATAATTAGAGCCTATTTTGCAATTTCTTTCTATCGATAAAGTTAAATGATATCGTGGTTTCCTTTTATGCAATCCAAGGTCAAGTCAATAATCGTATACCAAAATTTTGGTTTGTAATCTTTAAAACTTAAAAAAATATTTTTAATAGAAAAACCACCAAATTTTCGAGGTATCACCTTAAATTGAATGTTAGTAATGTTATTAGCATTAATAGTATTTTTTTTAAATATTGTAAAGAAAACTTACTGAGCATGAAAATCATTGTAATGTATGATGTTCAACTCGTACAGTCCATTGTTCTCTCCAAACACGACACTAAATAATGCTATGAAGCATACCGTGCTCCTAACCATGGCTGAACCGTATAGCCACCAGTATCAGTAGCACAAACTAAATACCACTATCTGAATCGTGACAGCTCTTACAATTATCGGCGATAAAATATTAATAAGGCACACGCGAGATAACTAAACTCGTATCGCATTAAACGATAAATAGGATAAAAACGGATTATAAATTTAATAAGGAATTGATTAAGAAAATAGTATTTATTTTATGCGAAACTTTACTTTTAACTGAAAGTATAAGCCGACTTCAAAGAACTAAAATTAATAAAGCATTCTTCATGGACTAAGTGGACTGATATTACAATATCAATATTGTATAAAATAAAAACACACACCCCATGCAGTTAGTATTAACACACCCCTATTTTGACTTTTATTATTAGTTAAGTACATTAAACACTACATCCCCTATTTTGACACTTGAATTATATTTATATTATATTATATTGACCTTATTTTATAAAAAATAAACAAGTGGCGAAGATATTGTAAACTTATTTAATTTTTTTCGTAAAAAAATTATGAGACGCTTAAGGACACCTTGGCCCATGCACTAGAGGTGGAAGCCGGTGCGGCAGGATCATCGTTCCCATCGCGTCAGGGAGGTTGCAGCAGCTACAGTTCGCGACCGCAACAGAAGATACAGCCCTAGGTGCTATGGCTGTGGGGAAAAGGGCCATCTTCAATCCAGCTGCCCTAAGCGAATCCTAGAAAGAGAAGTTGAACGATCTCGAGAGGGTAGTGCAGCTAACGGCACCACCTGGCGGCAGCAGGATCATCGCTCCCCTCACGCTAGGGAGGTTGCAGCAGTTACGGTTCGCGACCACAATAAAGGATACAGCCCTAGGTGCTATGGCTGTGGGGAAAGGGGCCATCTTCGATCCAGCTGCCCTAAGCGAACCCTAGAAAGGGAAGGTGAACGATCTCAGAAGGGAAGTGCGGCTAACATCACCGCCCAGCAGCAGCCAGGATACGAGTTTACTATCTCATGGCAACGCAGATGCATTGTCAAGAAGACCTAGTCCTGAAGATTGCAAACATTGTACTAGGCAAGAGAGTAAGGAAGTGGTATCCGTGAGGATGCTCAGGGCAGACCACCTCAGCAACGAGTGGAAGGACAGCTTACTACATGCACAGCAGGAAGATCCGCACATCAAGCCGATTCTGGAATGGATAAAGGCCAGTGCTCCCAAGCCCAACTGGAGTGACGTCTCAGCGATGAGTTCGACCACTTAAAGCTATTGGGCCCAGTGGGACAGCTTGCTGCTTCAGGATGGAGTTCTGTGTTGTAAATGGGAAAATGTTCGGGGAGACAGCTGTCATTTGCAAATGGTTGTCCCTAAAGCTAAAGTACCGGATGTTCTACAGCTGTACCATAATGATTGTTCAGGAGGCCATCTGGGAGTTAAACGAACTCTACTGAAGATCCGAGAACGGTTTTACTGGGTCCACTGTCGAAACGATGTCGAGGACTGGTGTCGCAAATGTACAAGGTGTGCGGATGTAAAGGGACCTCAGACTCGTAGTAGAGGTGCATTGAAGTTGTACAATGTTGGTGCACCATGGGAGAGAATAGCCATTGACGTGGCGGGGCCGTTTCCGGAGAGTGAAAGCGGTAACAAATATTTCATGGTTGTGATGGATTACTTCACTAAGTGGCCAGAAGTCTTCGCCATTCCTCATTGTACGACCACGCGTTATTGTGGACGGACGTATTCAGACTATCGAGGGATTTTTAAAAACATTGCAAACAGTAAATATTTTTGAAAAAGTGTCTTATTGCTATAGTCATAATATTGAGAATCGTAGTCAACTTCGATGATCGACGGGTGCAGTCAAACATCAGTCTACGTGTAACTGCGATCCCCACCTCTACTCACAAAGATCGGTAATATATCAAGTTATTCGCACATGCATAGATTAATGAACGTAAAGAAGTGATATTTTTTGATAATGCAGCGCTCTCCAACAAATAAACGTTTTGATTCCGATCCGGATCTATCCAACATTGTCGCTCGAAAACGCAAGTATGATCACGATATTTCAGATTCATTCAAATTATTCACTGATAATATATTGAAAAAGATGGATGATTGGAAGACAGATTTTAATAATAATTTACTTCAAATAAATGACACTATAAATAATTTGATTAAGAACGACGTTGCAAAACTGAACGAGATTGTAGTCGAGGTGAAGGCAGAGATCAATAATATGCGTAAGGAATACACAGAGATTAAGACTGACATAGTAAGATTAAGAACTCATCAAGTGGCGACACAAAAAGAAATTAATAGTCTCCAGCAGTCGGTAAAATTCAATGCTGACCAGCAAGACGAGCAAGCAAAAAAGATTGAAACTTTAGCTGTCGATATTAAGAAAACACGTGAAATAGAAATGGAAATTGTTAAAATGAAACAGCAAAATATGCAATTACAATCACAACTGAACTCAAGTGAACAGAGAGAGAGAAATTATCAAATATTGAAATTGTCGGTGCGCCGGAATACAAAAGTGAAAATCTTCAAGACCTTATTTTGAACATTGGAACACATATTGGTGTCGATATTCCGCCAAATGATATTTTATAAGTGAATAGAGTTTCTCCGAAAATAAAATTACAAGGTCGTCCCAGAGTCATAATAGCTAAAATGCGAACAAGGCTCTTGAAGGACAACATAATTTCACGGGGCCGCAAAGCTCGGATTACCTCAAGAGATATCGATGTAACAGGAGAAAGCAGACCCATGTATATTAACGAACATTTAACCCCCTTTAATAAATAACTATTGAAAAAATGTAAGGAATTGGCTAAAACAAAGCAGCATCCGTTCGTCTGGGTAAAAAATGGATTAATATACGTGCGAAAAAACGACAACTCTCCCGCTTTAAAGATCATAAGCGAAGAGGATCTCAAGAAACTAAGTGTTTCCAAATAAGTATTCTCTTTAATAATCTTTTCTCGTTGTTAAATTTACATATTTCCGTATTATATAATGTGTACTGTATTTATAACGTTAATCGTCTAAGATATGTTTTTCATTTAAATTCTCAATATTTAATGTTTATGAAAAAACCTTTATTTGCCAGCTCTGTTCGGAATAGGTACTCTATGCTAGAAAACACGTTACTTACAATGTTATTTGTACGCTTAATTAATGTGCATCGAATTGTGCACGGTCACATTTCATGTACAAAAGCTAACATTACAAAAATTTTGCAGAATGTAAATGATGCAGCTAATAAATTATTATTTCTTTGTCATAATGGCACTGATAACAAAAATTATCTCTTTCCTAAAAATATAATTTACTTTGCATATTTCAAACAAAATTATCATAAACTAACATTAAGCCGCTTAAAAATCACTGTTTTTAATATATTAATATTTAACATCAAATTCTATACATATACGTTATCATTAAAATCATTTATCGCACCTGTTTATAGTGATCGACCTATAACGCATTTTAACTTCATTGTCATATTTATCACTGCTAAAAGAACATTAGTGCCGGAGCGTAAAAATAAATTCTTACAATACCTTCAAATAGTTAATAATAATGCATTATTTAAACTTTCAATATGGATTTATTTAACATTTTATTCGTTCTGTTTACATTAGTGGGAAACTTAAATATTAACAAATATTTATATACATGGTTTACAAAGGATGAACATATAATCGTATTATTCGATATTTATATCAATGAATCAAACACGAAACTATTCATCGCTTTTTTTCTGTCAACCTATAATCAACATCACTTTTGAACACAGTATTGTAATCTGTGTTTTTGTGTTTCAGCCCCTCTATTTTACAAAACAATTATATTTATTAGTAATATTTTCCAGTTGTATAATAACTTTTATACTATAAGTTGTAAATAATTGGTAGCATTCTAAGTTCTAAGTTCGATACGTTAAATAAAAGTAAAGATCTAAAAATATATTATCAAAATACACGGGGGCTGAGAACTAAATGTTTGCAATTAAGACAGCAGATTTTAAGAAATGATTATGATATTATTGTAATAACTGAGACATGGTTGCATAACGGGATTTTCGACGGAGAATTATGTGACGATCGGTATGAAGTTTTTCGGTGTGATCGAGACTTATTAATCATGCGATAAAAAGACAGGAGGCGGGGTCATGATCTTAGTGCGTAATGAGTTATGTGCAACTCCCTTAGTCACTGAATGTCTGAATAACTGCTCACCGCCTGATATGTTAATGCTGTTAGTACCGGCACATGCAATTTCTGCTACTGCAGATTTGTACATTTACTTCCCTCCTAATGTTTCACATATGCCAGCTGAAATAGATTACTTACTGCAAACACTAAAATCTGTGGTAATCTCAAATAGTACTGATAAAAATAATTTAGTTATCGGTGATTTTAATCTTCCTTGCATCTCATGGAGTACTCAGGGCCCAATACATTTAAATAAAGGCAATGCTGAAATTAAAAGTGCTGGTGTAAGGTTAACAGATGAACTGAGCTTTCTCGGTCTCAAGCAATATAACAGTTTTAAAAATTATGCCGGTAATACTTTAGATTTGGCATTTTCAAATCTTCCACTTGAAGTCGCAATTTGCAACTCGCCCCTTATAAAGGTTGACCGCGCCCATCCTTCGTTAGTACTGGAAATTTTAGACGTCTCAATCACACCGTTTACTGAAGCATCTAAGCCTAAATATGATTTCAATAAAACCAATTATGAGAAACTAAATGAAACTCTAAATAGCATCGATTGGCGAACACAATTACAATCTAGCACGGTCCAAGAGGCTTGTGATAACTTTTATAATATAATAAATGATGCTATATGCCAACACGTACCACTTAAGTCCTATCATAATAAATACAAATACTCTATCTGGTACAGTCCCGCTTTAATAAAAATAATTAAAGAAAAATCCAAAGCACACAAAAAATGGAAACGGTCTGGCAATTTATTAGATTATGACGAGTTTTCATTATTACGTAAACGACAAAATCGGGTTCAGGATGCTTGCTTTGCTATATATACTCAACGTACCGAGGAAGCCATTAAATACAAACCGAGGTTATTCTGGTCATACGTTAAGTCTTTGCGTGGTGGATCGAATTATCCAAAACAATTATCATACCTCGGCAATAAAGTAACGGGTGGTAAAGAAATATGTGATACTTTTAATACATTTTTCAAAAACGTTTTCGGTGACCCTTCTGATAAAATATTAGAAGAAGGCAATGCCACTTCTACATATGATAATATATCTAAACTGTTTATCCCTACATACACTATTGAGAAAAGACTTAGACTACTTGATATTACTAAAGGAGCAGGATGTGACGGCATTCTCCCTTTATTTTGGCGTAACTGTGCTAAAACTTTGTGTGTCCCTATCGCTATCATTTTTAATATGTCTCTTAGCGAAGGTGTATTTCCGGATATCTGGAAAAGAGCACACATTGTTCCTGTACATAAAAAGGGAACTAAAACTAAAATTGAAAATTATAGGAGCATTTCAATTTTAAATACTATTGGCAAAGTTTTTGAGAAAACCATTTATGATGTTGTATATCCCGTAATATGTAAGGGACTGCCAAAAACTCAACACGGATTTCTAAGGTAACGTTCTACTATCACTAATCTGGCGTGCTTTTCTAACTATGTTTTGTCTAATATGGATGGAGGCGGTCAGGTAGACGTGGTCTACACGGACTTCGAAAAAGCTTTCGACCGTGTGGACCATGTCATTTTACTGAATAAACTACAATTGTTAGGCATACATGGGGATTTACTCAGGTGGATAAAATCCTATTTGAGTAATAGATCCCAGGCTGTTGTAATAGGTGGATATAGAAAGAAAGAAAGAAAGAAAAAACATTTATTCACGGTCTAATCACAATAGATACAAAACAAAGCAAGAAATTGGAATTAAACAGAAAATAAAACAATATTTCCCTAAATTAACAAAAATGTAAAAATAATATAAAATGAGTCTGTGTAGCAGCATAAGACCGTGAAATGGACAGGACTCTGTAAAAATCGAGATACAGAAACACGAATTGCTCTGATCCCGACACTGGTTTTCAGTCCGGCCCGCACTCCGACGTAACTCGGACGGCTGCCTCAATGCACATGCTATAATGCGACGCGGAATATATAAAAAAAATATATGTTTTTAAATTTTAATTCACATAAATAGTGGATATCATTAGTATAATGAAGGTAAGTACAAAATAGAATTAACGTTTTCATTCTAAATATATCAATTTTATTTATTAAGAATGCGGAATAAACTTTGGCTAAAGAATAAAGGTAAGAAAATGATTGTCAGAAAAAGTAAATTTATTATATAAATATTTAAATAAAATAGTTTTATATATTATATAAAGTGAAAATTAAAAATATCTACATAATTTATGGGACTGAGATTACTGACGTGTTGAAAGAACTTAACCTCCTACCAGTTTATTTTATAGATCGGTATTTTTTTGTTCCGAAAGTAAGTGTAACCTGTATTTGATTTTAAACCCACTAATTGTTTTCAGGTCACGCAGTGGAGGCGGGAGGTTATTCCAACATTTAGTGGCATTATATTTAAAACTACCTCTGAAAGCGGCCGACCGGTAGAAAGGATATACTAACTTGTAACTGGATGATCTGGTATTATACTGCTTATTTTGGTCTTTAGACCAAATCAACTTATTATAAAAATATAAAGGTTCTTTATTTTTAATAACTCCAAACAAAAGTGAGACAAAGTGTAGTCGCCTGCGATAGTCCATTTTTAAAATATTAGCGTTATTAATGAAAGGGGTTACATGTGCACGTGGTGGGACATTGAAACAAAAGCGTGCACAGGCATTCTGTACCCGCTGTATTATTTGCTGTGTTCGCGAGATAATAGTCGTGGGCCTATGAGAGAATCCGCGTAATTGAATTTTGAAAGCACGATAGACTCGCAGAGATGTATACGTAAGGTGACACTTAGGTACTCGCGAATACGGTAAAGTACTTTCAACCTATAAAAGCAGTTACGTGCAATATCCATTACATGTTTCTCAAAACGAAGTTTGTCGTCCATTATTACCCCCAAATTTCTGACTTCAGTGACTCTCACAATAGGTTCGTTGTTTACAATAATGGCAGGGCGGCTTAGTGTGATCTTTTTTATTTGATTTGGCGATCCTAGAATAAGGTACTGCGACTTTTTTGGATTGAGAACCAATGCGTTACGCTCTGACCACAAAGATATCCGACCCAAATCCAAGTTCAATTTTGTCACTGCTACTTGAACATCACAAGGCTTAAACGATATATATATCTGTAAGTCGTCAGCGTACATATACAATACTCTATATTTTTAATAATGTCTGCACTATATATTATAAAAAGTAAGGGACCTAAAATGGATCCTTGCGGTACTCCTCGGTTCACAGGGCGCTCCCCAGAAATAGCTTTACCTTTTCCATTTAATTGTATTTCAACTTGCTGTGACCTATTTTTAAAGTAACTGGCAAACCATTGGGTTGCGTTTCTGCT